AAATCGAAGAACTAACATGTCGCTTCCCTGGTTAGCGGCAATGGCTTGACGTTGACAGACACACACTCAGACGTCGCTAGGGCCGTTCACGCGACGAACGAACCGACGCTATGTGCGGTACGGCCAGCTCGCACGCTCTTGTCGAACAGGACTCCAGGAGCAATGACTGGGCTATGGCGAGTGCCAATGATGCATAATAGCACGAAAACGGCGGCGGCTGTAGAGCAACTCTGACGATGCACTGCTTCCTGATGGTGTGGTCGCGACGTTGACCGGCCCTTTTGCTACGACTCTAGCACCGCCTCTGGGCTTGCCTTTCCCAGGCAAAGACAGGCAAAGAATGCCAAACCGAATTGGGCCCATCCCGCATAACGTGGGGCACCGCAAGATGCCTGGGTGAAAAGTGAAAACAATCAAGCTCAATGGCACCAGGCCAGGGCCGCGGCATCGACATGGTCACGCTACTGTGGACTGGAGATTGGAATCGCATATCCGACATCTGGCATCAGGGTGCTAGTAATGAGTGCTATGAGAGCTATACAGGGATGCCGATAATTCACCCTCTCTCTCTGCGTGCTTCGTTGCCATTCCGTCCTGTCTTTTTCCCCCAAAGGTCAGACGGGCTGGGTCTGACTAACATGCTTTGCTAGATACCGAGTGCGTCTGTACGGTCGAGGATAGAGCAGCGGCCATATCGGTACGGACACCAGCGATTCATCCAAGAACAAAATGCTCGCGGTGACGCAGCCATTTTCGTGAACATCATCTTGAGAGACACGCACCGAAGCAACACGTTGATGGTCTACGAATCCTGTATGCCTCTGCAATCACGATGCACGTCGGACGAGATGCAGTCGATGGATCTATTAGGCAGGTCTGCTCTACGGATGCGATGCAAGAGGTAGGTGACAAAACAGCGACGCCGATGAAGTTCACAACTCGATTGGTCAGGGGCCCATGTACAAACCTGGTGACGTGCTTACAATACTTACGGTGTATTCGTACGGAGCATCAAACACGTCTTTCTCACGTGGCGAGGAAAGGACTGATGAGGACTGTTACCCGTACACCGACTGCGAGATATCGTGGTGACAGAACAAAGCCCATGTACAGCTTGGTTCGTAGCAAGTTTGCATATTCGCAAAGTATGCTGCTTCACCGTCATCTTCGTTTCTTCGTCTAAGGGACCTCGCCCAGAGCCCAGCACTACCGGGGGGTTTTTTTTTTGCGCTACCTCAGCCACTCGATGCCGATTTGACCACGGTTTGCGATTATCGGGTTGGGCAGCGCGGGATTCACTACGGCGAGTTGTTCTCTCGGAGGCTTCCATCTCGAGCGACCTGCCTTAGTGAACTCCAAGCCCCCAGCCCCGGTGCCGTACTAAGGCAGGGTAAGGGTGCCTGACTCCTGAGTACTGGAGGCGGTGGCGGCGAGGATGATTTTGGCGAGGGCCGGGCGGGCAGCGCACATACCAGGACAGGCCTGGCAGTTCACCGTTGCGACCTTGGCCCAGCTGATATATCGCACCCGGCACCCATCAGATGGATCTCGTTGCCGAAGCGAAGAGCGCGTACGAATATGTGGATGAATGGATGTTTGGAAGAGTAGAGGGCCAGCAACAGATCTGAAAGGTATGACATTGTTCGGATCGGTAACACATGCATGCAAATGGATGGTGCCGACAGATGGCGGGCCTCTATCGGCTTACCGCCCGCCTTGCAGAATGAGCTCGTGGTCCCCATGCTGCTTGCTACTTGCTGTTGGTGGGTTTCCGCGATACCAACGGCGGATAAGCAAGGGAGAAGAATAGTATGTGTTCATACAATCAAACTTCATGGACGGTGGACCGAGTTGACCAGTCGACCTACGGATACAGATACACAATATCTGTCTGTACGAGATGGATCATGGAGCCATGCAGCAGCATGAGCCTGAGTCTGTTCCTGGCCAATTGGCCCCGTTCGACTGTTCCTGGGCCTGGGCCTGGGCCTGGGCCTGATGTATCCGCACCTACTCCTTGGCATCCCTGCGACCAAGTTCGGACGGAAACTGGAGATGACCTGATGTGACCCGCACTCAGACAAGAACATCATTCCGGCGAGGTAGTCGAAACTTCTCTTGAGATGCTTGAGATGCAGGCGGACCAAGTCATGTCTACCTTGCTTCTCCCTGCAGGGCAGCAGCCAGCAGGTGACGTCTGGTGTTCTCCGCTGCACAGCAATTTTGCTTCAGTTTGAGCTTCTTCACCCCCAGCTGGTGAGTGACCACTCCTCCTCCTCCTCCTCCTCCTCCTCCTCCTCCCCAGGCTCTAGTGTAGGCAATAGTAGACCAACACAGTAGACAGGAAGCATTCACGACTAGATACACTTAGCACTCGAGATGCGATACTAGAAACAATCATGCGTTTGCCGATGCCACTGACGAGACAGCGATTGTTGTCAAGAGTACGGACACTCGTAGGTCTTTTTCGATCTTGATCACACCTGCAATGAACAAACCAAAAACAAATTGACGGTGCAGGTACCTAATGCACCTACCTTCTTACAACAAGAAGAAGAAGAGTTAGTTCTACGTTGCTGCGCTAACATGGTTACTCAGTACGAACGAGCAGCTCATGTCAAGGCGTGGATTCCGCGGCCAACCCTCAACCATGACCAAATGGCCCAGCTTTCTTTTTGATGGATCGTGGCCGGATCTATCCAACCATGCCGCCCGATCCAGGTTGTCTGCAGACTGCTGTCCACAAGTCATTTCCTTCTCACCTGCGCACGACCCTGCTTCTGGCCACGGCCACGGCCACGGTCATAACCACAACCACAGCCACACAAGTTCGCTCTCTCTCTCTCGCGCGCGCGCGCGCGCGCGCACACTACTCACGGCCGCACGTCAATCGGCGGGCTAGCTAGGAGCTAGGAGCCCAAGCCCAAGGCGGATGGTTGGTGGAGAGTAACGGTGACAGCTGGCTCTTGAAGGTTCCTCGCCCACAGCCGGCCGTCTACGAATACACCTGGTCCATGCCAACAACGTCTTGTCCCCCCTTCCACTAGCACGTTGACCCTCAAGACCCTACAACCCGGCTTCGCTATAAGCTAGGTGGCTAGGTATCACGATGTGGCTTCTAGCTCCATCTCATTCTCATTCTCCAGCTGCATCCCCATCTCAGCCTTCGGCCCACGTCAACTTTCAAGTCAGCTCGCCCTGCCCGGCCGGCCTGGCCGTCAGCCACAAAATGGGTACCCTGGGGCAGGCAGAGTTTCATTTGGAGAACGGCCGCGCTGAAGAAGGACTACCCATGGAAGGCGGCTGAAAGAGAAAATCGAACGTGCCAATTATTTTCCTCGAGGTTCCTATGCAATGTCCCCACGACATCGTCACTACCTTTTCTATTCTTGCAGGCTGAGCAACACGAATGCGACGGTATCCGCACTCTAGACAAGACTCTGACTCCCGATGATTTGGGACCTGCGACTTCTTCGTTGGGAGAGCGCCTCCGTCCGTATCCGTAAAGATACTGAGTACGACACTTTGACGGATTCGAAAAGCCATGGGTTACGGCAAATTGGAACGAGAACTCATCAAGTATCCGGCGGAGACTGAGAACACTGCGTCTACGCCACACCGTACCATGGATTCGTGTGAGCTTCCTGTGTGGAGAGCCCGAAATGAGGCGAGGCACAGATCCTACACTGATGCCGACCTAGCTGAGCTTGTGTTCAGTCACAAACTTACCAGTATCGCCAGGGCATCAGAGCTCGTCCACATGGAGGACAGGCCTCGGCCTAAGTACCTACCTTATTAACGTGCTCGTTGAGAGCTCTCCGTAGCTAGGTGTATCGACATCCGCATCCGCATCCGCACCCGCACCCACAGTCTACATCCGCGTCCGTTTTGCTGGCGCAGCGCTAGGGCGCAACGTGCCGTGTGTCTTTGGTGAGGTGCCACCTAGTGGCCGCTAAGACTGTAAGACATCCTCCCTGCCCAGTCCACGGATACCTTAATCATGTCTCTCATCGTATCGACAACTCAGAGGACCATCCGAGACAGACACGCAGGAGGACGGACGTGCCTCGAACCGCTCAAGGATGATGACAGGCCAGGGCTCGGACGCGGACGGATAATACATCGGACGGCACAGCACAGGACAGGGCAAGGCAGGACAGGACGGCAGGACGACTCACAACGGAAATCGGACCAGGGCAAGCCAAGCTCGGAGAGAACGAACGTGGATGGGACCAGAAGGCGCCCTGTCACCTTTTCTCCTTCCGCTGCCACGCTGCCACGCTGCCATAGCCGCATTCCATCCCCAACAAGCAGGAGGAACATGTTCGGTATCCTTGCCTTGCTTCACTTACCTATCCGTACCAATATTCGTACGCTACTACTTGGTGCTCCGTTCGGATACCACAGTAAGTTAGTTGCCTTCCTACCCGTCGTCCGACATACCTTGCCTTACAGCGGTCTCCGAAGGCGGCACCTCACGTACGGATACCGTGGTCCTTGCCCCATGCCAATGGTATCCGAGGGTAGTAGCTGACGAGGATGGATGGTAGGCTCCCTTACCTCACCATCCAAGGCATGGTTACGGATACGGATACTTCCTCTCTCTCCAGTCTCCATCCCCGGCGTCCTCGCAAGTTACAACATCTGATGAGCACCAAACCTCTTATATATCTATCATGGTTTGTTTTTTCGATGGCTACCCCGTCGTGCGTGGCTACGCGTACGTCTTCTTCCATTCGATGCCACCATCTCAGACCCGTCATCTCATCTCTCTGTTGCGCTCGCAGGTCGATCCCTCCGCTCGCCTCTCCACATATCCCACAACCTTCTTTCGACCCCGACGACATTGCTGCATTCACACCCCTTCCCCCCCCCCCCCCCCCCCCCGGTTCTCGTTGTGCCTTTTCCTCTTCTCCCCCATGTCCCTCACCCCGTGGCCCAGTTCCACGCGTACCCACGTCCGCTCATCTGTCTCTTCCCCTACCTAAGGAGTACACTAGGTACCTTTACCCCCTGGACCCTGGGCTACCGACACCACCACCACCACCGGCATCATAACCACGAGCATCAGCAGCCACCGCCGCAAACCTGTGTGCAGCGATTACAACGTTGGCTCGAGCGTTGCCATGCGTTCCGTCAGTACGTACCCCGACATACCTGGCTCGAACGGTCTCGCCTCGTCCTGCTTTACCCCCTCTGAACGAAGCCATAGCACACACGGCCACATGGGCTGTCAACTGCTGTCCATGTTCTTTGTCCTGGCGTGTGCCTGGGTTAGCTATCCTTTTCTATCCGTATCTGCAAGGTACTCAAGAAATGAAAAAGGATATTAGCACAGAAGATCGATCATCCTTTCCAACGTCTCACACTACACTTCTATGTCCGAAGTACCTACGTACGGATGCTCTTCTGCTCATTACTTGCTTCTTCTCTTTCGCAGATTCAATGTCCTCTTTTCCCCACTCTCTGCCGCCTCCACACCCCTCCAAGCTCTCTTCAATACCATCAATATCAGGTCAATCTTACACTTCCTCCACTCTCTCCCGCTGCCTGTCTTCATCCTGGTTTGGTCTCTACCCTTTCTAGTGTCTACCTTGACTTGGAGAGACCATACTCCGTACCCCCCGGGTGTTGGTCTGTCTCCTCCCCCTCCATCTACATGCTCGCCTAGGTATCCGTACCCTCCATTCATCCATCCCATCTCATCCTTGTACGAATTCATCCCATCCCATCCCATCCATCCCATCCATCCCTATCCATCCCTATCCACCAGTCAGTCTTCTTTTCCTCCTTCCTGGCTCCCGGTTACATTGTACATAATCTGCCATCTGCTACCGGCTCCGACATTCGAGACAACGTTCACCCCTCCCTGTCCACTCCCACCTGAACCATCCCTCCTTCGCATCCCCAATCAAATTTGGTACTCTGCACGCTACATACTGGCCGTCACGGCTAACTTGCCAAAGTCATTAGGGAAGAGACACAGAGAGGGAGAGCCTGCAGGCGCAATGAAGCCCTTTTGATTTTCACCGTAAATTATTCTTGCATCTTATTTCTCCGTCCCCTCTCTATTCCTGCTAGCTTTCTCTCACTTTTTTGGCCTTGGCCACGCCCGCCGCAGTCCCGTCCCGTGTCCGCATCTTCCTTCACTCAGCCTTTACTTTCACTGGACTGTGGCCCCAACTGACTCTTGTCTCCCCCACTGTCTTATTACGTTGTGGCTTCATACGTGCCTGTTTTAATCTCATCCAGGAACCCTCAGACCCAGCGCTACTATCGCCATCGCTACCGCCAACCAATATTATCATCTCCTCCCTGGCCAGTGTACTGACTGCTTCAAGTTACTGGTCTTATGGTTTTTGCTGCCCACGGCTGATAATGCTGCCGGTTGATGTTTTTTTCTCTTTTCCTTTCTCTCTCTCTCTCTTACTCACACACACACACACACTCTCTCTCTCTCTCTCTCTCTCTCTCTCGCATGCTCGCTCGCACACTTCCTCGCCCTCTCTTATTACTCTGTCCTTTTGTCTTCTACACGCCCCCCTCTCGTTCCCTCGCACTCAAGACGGAGACCTCGCAGAAAGCACTGTACCTTACCTCGTCCCAATCTGCACACACTCACACACACACACACACACCTCTCACACACAGACGCGCGGAGAATTGTCGTTGAACAGGGGATCGTGATGGCATAGCCCTCTACCCTTGATTAGCAGCCACTCTAAAGACGTCGACCAGGGTGTTTGTTCCCTGGCCTACCTTTCCCTCGACCAGATCAACCCTGAACCACACACCCTAGCTTCATCTCAATTGCCCCCCCCCCCCCCTTCCCCTCGTAGGTCTAGCAAGCCTGCCTCCAGTCACACAAAAACCGACCGGGAGCCACCGATCGACTGCTCCCAAAAAAAAAAAAAAAAAAGCCTATGGGTCCTTCTCTCCAACATATCCAGCCCTCGAGAAATAACGCTTCTTTATTCCGACCGCCGAGAGGAGAGAGAATCGGAGAGACAAAAAGAGGCTAGGGGTAGACTAGATCTACATCGTCTTCCTCCCTTTTCTCTACTTCCGCCCTTCTCTTTCTCTTACTCCATCACTTATACAACCGTACCCAAAGACAGGTCGCCGGTACGCAGGTATCCAGCCATCTATCTCCGCATCCCGTGCCTGAGGTTCTGTCGTGGTACCTCCTGCAACTGTCCGCATCAGCATCGCGCTCGACAACCCGCCAGCATCGCCGCAAGGAGCTTCATTGGACCTTGGAGGGTCATTGTGCGAGTGTCCCGCTACAGCAGCCTCGTCGTCTTACAGCACCAGCCGCTGCATCTGATCATTTTTGCCTGCTTTCATAGGACAGCTGGATCGGCCTTTGCGATTCTCACACCTGGCACGAACGCCCGGTTGAGTGTTTAAAGACGGCGCGCGAACTTGCATTGTCTTTGAAATACCCGCTGGTTCAGACTTTTGCTATTCGCCATATCGAGTATTTCTTCGGAAACCACAAGAGAGCTTTCTCCTTCCCATCGGGATTGGTATTTCGAGACTGTGTGGGCAAGAGGGGGAATTCAACTCATCCGACCCAAAGGAAAAGGTATCTTTCGAGCGGAACCACAACGTTCATCCGTCCTTGAGTAAAGGAAGGGGTATTATATTCGGACCTGGAGCAAGCATAAAAGCGCAACGACGAGCTTCAGAACATCGACAGCAGCACACGACGGACCGATATCGTCTCGCGATAGTTCCGGCCTTTCGCAACAGTCTGGGAAACGAGGCGTCGTCTGAACAAAGACGTGGAGAGCTCCTCGACCCGGATGCCCAGTGAAGCTGCATCACAACATCCATGCAAGCCATAAGTAGCGATTGCGATACGTCGTCTACCTCGTTCGGCCAGCGCCGAGGCATTTCCGATCTGGCGCGATTCGCCCTCGACCTGACCTGGGCAACGCCAACAAGAGCAGAGTCCGAGACTCCTGCTCGACCCAGAGCATATCCTTCCCCGCCCATGTCAGGGTCTCCTCCTCTTCCGCCCAAGCCAAATCCAGAGGCTGGTGACCGAGGGCAACTGCATGGCAGCTATCCGTCCACCAGCCCGCAAGATGCCTACCGGGGAGGACTGCCGCCAACGACGATACCGCAAGGCGACTACCGAGGACCTCCGCCTCCGCCGCACTCCTTGCCGCCGCCCCAACCCCGATCATATCACCCCGAACAGCAGGACAGGATGCCTTACTCATACCCTCGACCCGACGACCACCTGCGGACTGCGCCTTCAGGATACGCACACCTGGCAAACCAGGCAAGCCAGGCCTTGCAGCAGCGGGCTCCTCCGCCCTACATGCACATGTCTGGGCCACCGCCGCCACAACCAACAGGACCCCATCAGCATGGTTACGCATCAACCATGTCGCAGACATCCCAGGACAGCGGTCCCTATACGTCTCCGAAGACGCAAAGAAAGACAAAGGGCCATGTGGCATCAGCTTGTGTGCCATGTAAAAGAGCCCATCTTCGGTAGGTTACCACTCTCCCCGCAGATATCCCAAGTGAGACGCGCGGTGGTATTTTGATACGGTGACGCTGACATTTGGTTTAGATGCGACGGTACGTACGACTGACTGGCTAGCTTGCTAGGCCATTTTTGAGATTTTTTTTTTTTCTCGTTTTGCGTTTTTCTTTGCGTTGTTAATTTTTTTTGCATTGTCCTTTCGGCTGGGGGATCGACCAAAAGAGGAAACTCCCGCGGACTGCAAGGAACCAGTACTGCAGCCATCGGGCGCATGCGGCTCCAAATCTCTGGGGAACAACACTTGACATCATTATCGGTCAAGAGGCACCGAGAGTGAATCTGGACGCGGCATTAACCTAGCAAGGCGTACGGGCGTTGCGACACTCGAAGCAGCGCAGGGATCAACCCCTTGACCTGAGACCGATGCTGAGGGGAAGACGATCCCGTCTGGGAGGATCATTCGCAGAAAACTCGGACGGAGGAGTTGAGATGGCTGAGTTGAATGGGATGGCGCATGCCGTCAACCAAGTCTTGCTTGGGCTGTGCGGTGTCCGTGAGCCCAACTGGACTGGCGTCAGTCAGTCCTGTCAGCAGAAGATGTGCTGGTGTGTTCCTTGGCCGGACTTCCGCGCCGGGATTCTCAGCTCCTCCAGCTTTCCAACCTCACGACCAAGCGATCGGCCAACCCTGCCAACGTACCCAACGACTACCGTGTCTTGCGCCGTCTGGTTCCTGGACCCGTTCGCTCCGGAGTGTCGGCCCGGCATTTTGGGAAGATTGGCGGGTAACAGCCGGCACACCCGGGAGCGACCCTCGAATCTTGATTATGGTTAGGGATGCGGTGAACTCGCCAATCGCGTGTCGTTGGACTGGGTGTGGTTGCTATCGAATGTGCCATGTCTGAAACAGAAAGCGGAGGCGGTTTTCCCTTTCGCGAGAGCTTTCTGGGTGGACTCGGGCTGGTCGATCGCTGCTCCGTCTGGTCTGGTCGCGGGATGATCCAAGTGGACAGAACTAGCGTGTCATTGACGTGTCGGATGCGACGCATGGCAGCTGGGGTAGGAAAAGCAACCAAATGTCTAAGCCACGCGACTGACGAGCAAGTGCCCGTTGGAAGACGTCATGTAAGCTTTTTGGCTTGACGTGATGGTGGTGCCGCTTTTGCACTTACAACAGCTTTGGATCGTGCGCTTGCTTGCTTTCTTTTTTGGTGTGGAGAAAGAGAACACACGACAAACGGATGACAGTTTCGCTGACTTGCTCTTGCGACAAATAGCTCAACGGCCCTGTTCGAGATGCACAAGCAACGGCAAGGAAGACGCTTGCGTCGACGTGCAACACAAGAAGCGTGGCCGCCCGCGGCTGAGAGACGACCGAGAAGCCCGCTATGGCCCCTCGACATATCAGCATCCCCAGGATGCCGCCGCCGCCGCAGCGGCAGCAAGGAGACCGCCGCTGAGCCACTACTCGGCTGGCACTCCCATCTCAGGGTACGATGACCCCATCCGAGGCAGTCACTCCTATCGCGTTCTAAAGTCTCAACCAAGCGAACCCATTGCACCTCGGTATCTGGACAGAGCTCCTATGGGCGAGGCGAACCTGTACAGCCAGCCCCCGTCTCTCGCGTCCGGTTCGCCTGAGCCAGTCGTCTTCTTGACCACAGAGCTGGAGATTGCGCGCGCTTCGCCAGCTTTCGCTGACGCCGTCGGAATCCCCAACGTCAGAGGCCGCTCCCTATTCGACATCGTCGTGCCCACTGAGCGTGAAAAGCTCCAGAGCCATCAACGGCAGATACAAGAAGAGCGAACAAGAAAGGACCCCGTCTACCTACCTCCTATTTTCGGCAGGCAGGAGCAAGAGCGTGTCTTTGACTCCTTGCGATTCGAGGCCGATGAGATTTCGCGGTTCCAGCTCGACCGTCAAGACTTCTTCGTTTTCGCAGCGAGCGATGGACAGCCGAGGTCGTATTCCGTGCGCCTGGGATTGGCCAAGCGTGAATCGATTTACTTCATCGTCCTTCTCGTCAATGCCGCACCGCGGTATCCTTATCCCTCGCCATCGCCGCATGCACGCGAGATGCCGTACCCTTATCCGCCCCAACAGCAGGCGTACGCGCAGCACACCCCCGTCTCTGCCACGTTCGAGCAGCCGAGACCTCGATTCGGAGAAGGCGCACTTGCGCCGCGCCCATCCCCTGGCCAACCTCTGCACATGGCTTCTGGCTTAAGCCCCGGCATCAGTCCTGGCATGCCCTCATATGCAGCCTCACCCAGCCGTCCCGAGTACGCCAGCGGACCCTCATCGTACCAGATCCCTCGCAGTGAACTGCCGCCGACCGCTCGGCCGCCGCAGCCATCTTTCCAGTTGCCTCCGATCCGAGCTGGCCCCCACCAACCTCCTCAGTCAGAGTCCTCTTCCTGGCAGAGAGACGAACGATCAGGACGAGTCGATATCGGTGGCCTGCTCGAGAAGCCGGACCCGCAGCAACGACGTCCGCAATGAGTAATGACTTCCTGCCGCCCTAGCGGTCGTGGTCGATAATAATTCGCTTCATCCGGCTCGGTGTACGTTTCCTTCGCAGCGTCGATTGAGGCTACATTCGAGCCCAAATTCCTGGTCCGTTGACATTTTTGACCGTGTGTTCAGATGGACGGACGTTTGTCCAAATTGTCCGTCTCTTGTACTTGTATCGAGTTCCCTTCGTTTCCATGTTCGCCCCATCGGGCCCATCGCTGTTGTTTTTCCGGCGGCCACGAGCCGTCACGAGATACCACTTGTATAACCACCAACCTTTTTGCTTTTTGTTCACCCCCCCTGCACATATTGCTTTCCTCCTGCTACCAATTGGGGCATTTTGGCATCCGTTTGGGCGTTCTCTCTTTGGCTTTGATTCCCTGGGCTGGGCAGGTTGCGTCTGTTGTTGCATCCAAATCCAATGCTGAATGATGTTGGAGAGTGTAGGAATATGGCCCGTCGTCTCCAAAGAGGTTGGCGGCGGAATGAGAGGAGCCATGAGGCGGCCATATGCGTGTCTTTGTTGCTGTCTGGGCCCGCAGACACAGTTTTCTTCTTATATCCCTCAAAAGAAGGCCCACCCGGCGATTCCTTGCCAACTACCGTATTGCTCCGTTCATGTTGCCTTGCTCCCAATGTGCCCCAGTGTCGTTGTGTTCGTCGTGTAACTTGAGCTACTGTGATGGTGGGTAATATCCGAAATCGTCATGATGGCCTCCGGGATGACGATGACTGCCGACTCCAGAGTCTCCAAAAGCCCCAAGTCGACAAGAGGCTGGTCCCGACGATACTTCGACGAACAACCCAAGGCGTGATGAGATGACTCTTTGTTTGCTTCCATAATTTGAAGGAGAACATGGCCAGACGAGCGGGGGAAGGGCGAGGTCGCAGACTTTTGACGGGAGAGTTGCCCCATTACTCAGGTCCGGGGATTACGGAGACCGTCGGAAGAGGTCAGTGCGGTAGGCCATCTGCCGCAATTCCGGCAGGTCAACCCGGGGGACTGTTTATCGTAGCCATGGCTATGGAGCGTTGATAAAGGGGTGTTCCATGCTTCATGTTGCGGGAGTGTGGTGGAGGGGCCAGTGTGCACCGGCAGGGTGGTATAGGAGTGAGATGCTCGGGAGAGCAAAATATTGCGAGAGCCCGGCCGGGAGGTGAATAGAGGGAAAAGGAGTAGGAAGGGAAGGGGGGGGTTTAGACAAGAAAGAGAGAGACGGCCGTTGTATAATAAGAGAAAGAGGAGAGGCGGCTAGAGCAAAGAACGATGTTCGGCTGCCACTGCAACAATAGGCCCGTAGATAATTTAAACCACCTTGGTTCATAAGACTGCAATGAAATGGATTGGTCACTCACTTGAACACCCCATCCAACGTTTCGTTTCCCCCTTCGGCCGGCCACCCCTGCCTGGCCCTCCCTTTTCTGCAGTCTACTGCGCAAGTCAAATCTGCGACTTCAGCAATAGCTCGCCCGTGCCCATTCAGGCGCCCAGCCGGGCAGCCGGCGGATGCGGATGCGGATGCGCGCGTCCTATTGTACCCATCTGCGTGCGTTGCGTTGCGTTTTTGCGTCCCTTGTGTCCAATGCAAGTGGTGCATGCGGAAGTGTGTGTCATTTCGCGTGGCTCTTAGTTGCATCCGCATTGGAAGGTATAATCCGGCCCTGGTACTGGATTGGTGCTGCCGTCCGCTTGAAGCATTGGGTGAGGATGGATGATAATCGCTCGGTCTGGTTTTGGACACTATTTTTACCTCTCTTGCCGATGAACCATTGCATATAATCCATGATCTTGAGTGATGAGAAGCGAGAGTGGGCGATATGAGATGGGGCCGAGGATGAAAGAGAGTGGGAGGGAGGAAGAGAAGGATGGTGGAGGGGGGACGGATTATCGGGAGTTTTCCTCGGGAGGTCCATGGTTCTTGTTTGGACGTTCGGGATGGATTGATGTTGCCATTGGCTCGATTCATAGTCTCTGACAGCTCTGTGTCTCTCCGTGTGTTGCATATCCTTTTGCTTTCTTCGGCATTGGCTCGACTGTTGTGTTTGGTTTTGTGCTTCTGTGGCAGCGTTAGCCTGCCCAGTCTCGAGGGCGAGCTTTCTTCATGCCGTCAGCTGATGGGCATGTATGTCCGTTTCTTCATCGTCGACGTTTCCGCAGATCTTTCCTTCGGTCGTGTGCCGTAATGTGGGCAGCATCCCCCAACAAAGTAAGAGAGTAACAGACTGAGCGGGACTCGAGAGATGAGGTGAGAGAAAAAGATGTAATGTTCAGGGGGTCTTGAGTTGACCGTCGTCTTCTGTTCCCCCCTCCTCGGGCATCTCACTCTTTTTGTCTCTCGTCCTGCGTAGTCAAATCGTTCGTGCGTCCCTTTATTTTACCCCAGAAGCCCAACCGAAAGGAGGGACAGGGAAACGAGCGAGGAAACGAAACGAAACAAAACGGGCTTGCGGTGGATCCAACCACCGAGGCACCAGCCAGGGGAATGGGATGAAGAGGTGCAGGGAGAAGCACTAGAGGTTGCTCGTTACGGTTGAGAAAAATCTCCGAGACGGAGCCGGGCAGATTGTTGGTGGCCCAAAAGAGTTTTTCATTCGGTCATTGTGCATCTTTGGGTGGGTATACTTTTCCAATATTGAGAACCACGGACGACACCCTTGACCGTTCAGCTGATCAGCGGAATCGAAAGAAATTGAGGGATGTGAGAAGATTTTGAATTGGTGTGCTTTGTTGGCGAAAAGAAACGAGGCAGTTTCCCTCATGGTTGAGAATTGAGACTTTGGGCTGCCGGCGGGAGAGGACACCACCACATGTTCGCATTCGTCCGAGCGACGGAGACCACCACCCAAAGTTGAAACGCTGATGGACATATTGGGAAGTGTAGTGGATGCGAACAGCTGAAAGAGGAAAGACGCGGCAGGGGTTTGTAATTGTCTATTTGCTATTCCGGGAAGGGGGAAGACGCCGTCTGTTGCAAACACGAGGCGTTGAGTTGTGCCGCTCGGGTGACTCTGAAGAGTACGGAGAAAACCAAGAAAATATGTGAACGAGAAGAAGAAGAAGAAGAAGAAGAAGAAGAAGAAGAAGCAAATCCCAATGCGAAAAGGAAACCGTCTTGAGAAGTTGAGAGCATCGACCTGAAACAAAAGAGGCGCTGCCGAACGATATTCATGATTGTCACTGGATTCGGCCCTCTGCGTTCTTGACGTCTCCAGCGCGCTAGACCGCGAAAGGGTCGCAAGGGGGAGGGCGAAGGTTCCTGAAATGGACTCTTCGGCACCCTGAACAGTGGTTGTTTGCAGCGCACATGGGAAAGGCGCATACGGTTAAGGTTGTTTCGAAACGGGCCTCGCATGGCAGCCAGGTCCTGTGGCCGCTCGTTTGCTTGGGGGGAGATGGGGGAGAGGAAATGAAGGAGGGGCGCCGGATAGTGGCGGTGCCGGCCGCTAAACCACGACGTGGGAAAGCTAGCCGCACTATCAACGCCGGTCCTGTTGTCGACAGCTGTCAGTCGTGTTCGCAATGCTCATTGCCGTAGTTGAAAGACCGAGGGAGGACTTCTTCCCACTGCCGTGTCGCTGGTGAGCCGTTGTAATCGAGGCATGGCGCCGTCTGCTGAAGGCGATGAGTAGAATACTGTACGGATAGAACGAGAGGTATCCGAGCCACGCGAGGTGCTGGGGTCCTAGGTCTATCGAGAGGCCCTACGGATACTAGACTCTGATAAGAGAGGGGCGATGCTGCGTTGCCGGTGGATGTTGGGCGGTAGGCCGTCCTGTTCCTGCATGAATGGCATCATGGAAGGGTTGATGCTTCAATGGTGGCGGCGCCAAACGCCCGCTTCTCAACCGTTTCTTGGAGAGTTTGATTCGTGGCTGGCTTGTCGTTCGACCGTGTTCTGGCGGTCGCTGTCATTCTCGTGGCCATGCTCGGAGCCATGCCCGGAGTGCGGGCTAGCACTGCGAATAGGAGGCTTGACTCGGTAGGCGAGTGTCTTGCGCCGCTTGCTGTCTGGCACCTGGGCTTGCGGTTGGGTGTCAAGAGGCGCCGATGTATTCGTCGTCAACCTGCGACTTGCATTCATGGCCTCCCTGGCCTCATGATGCTGCTGATCGAGCTCGTGTTGTAGCTTATCGGGTGACGGCGGCGTGCTATCGTCGAATACCTCATCGATGTCCCGTTTCCTGCCAAGCTGAAGTAACCCCGACGGTTGAGGGATTTGCATGTCCATCAAACTCTCAGCATGGGACAGAGGAGCAAGAGGACTTCGGGGGATACGCCGGCCGGGTGTCAAGGATGGGTCCGAAATGATAGGATCTGGTGAAGGTAGTCTTGAGCTCCATCCGCTGGACCCGCTGTCAGACGTGACACTACAACCATGCACGTAGTGGCAGTGGTGGGCCTGCTTGGGACCAGGGGGGCCAGCTTACCTCGCACTCGAGAGATGGGTGCGTGTCGAGGCCACGCCGTCGTCACCTGCGGTGCTTCCTGATGGCTCGTCTTTGCACATGGCAGGCGCCGCTAGCAGCGTACGTGGAGTTGGTTAGTGTTGGACTGACAATGGTCCAAAGAGAGGGTACAGCAATCTCTGCAGAGATGCCCAGGCGGCCGGCGCTGGAGCGGGCAGTTCGGATGCTTGTCGTTATATTTTGGCCAGTTCTGAGCAAGTGCACGGTTCCCAAACGACGACCATGTGCCGGCCTGGGTTATTGGCGGTAATCGTGGCGGTTTGTGCGCGAGAAGCCCTGTTTGTCGACTTCATGCGAGGAGCCGTGGTTTGGGGTGCTTCGCCAGGATTCATGATCATGAGGCAAGACTTTCGGTATCCGAAGCATATTGGTGAATGTGCAAGTGATGGCAAAGGCCTGCTCTTCTCTATTCCATTGGAGGTTTCTCCAGCGAACAATGAGGGCGTTCATGTTGGGCCGAGGTCAGGGCATGTCTCGGAGTGTGCCGCTATCTGAGTCACCGTTCAAGGGACGAAGTTCTTCAGAGGGTTTCTGCATAGCAGGCTCGTTGACCAAAGTCCTAGGCGTTCTCGACAGAATACAATCGATCTAGTTGTGGTTCCGTTTGAACCTGATGGTTGGGATTGGTGGGTGGCATTTCCTTGACTATTGGAGACTTTCGGTGTCCAACGCCGCCACAGCCTCCACGCGAGGGGGATGTGTCAATGGCGGTGGCTTCGGTGAATCTGATCGATGGACTACATCGACAGTCCCTAGTTTGATCATTGGCGATCTTTGCTTCCAGGGCTGGCTGGTCAGCCTCAGATCGAAGCCTGGCATCATTGCAAATAGCGTACGACTGCGAAGATCGATCAGAAATGATCTTTCCGCGATCCAGTCTTGCGGACTCGACGGTAGGCTAGCGTCGTTACGGATACATCTGGATGGACGAATATCAACGTCCGAAGCGGCAATCCGAGTGCCGTATTATGCAAAATTATGTCCGGTGCACATTGCTCAGATAACGGTGAAGACGACATTAGGTTGATTACTGCAAGCCTGTGAATCGTGGTATTGAGTCTGAGGGCATATTGATGTTCTAGGATGCATATCGTTGTAGCAACCCAGATGGAAGGTTAGGTTAGGTTGTTGAAGTGATGTGCAGATGGATGTGGGACAGTGGGTAAAGGACGGCGACCACGGTGTGTACCGAGGTAGCTGAAGTGCCCGAGGGAACTTACCTAAGCACCTAAAGTAAGGTAGGTTTCACCCTTCATTAAGTGGTTTCGGCTGACTAAACAGCAACTCACGTGAAGACGCGCCAGAATCAGGGTAGTGGGCCCGGCAGTCGCGACTCCCATCTTCCTGGTTTGTATCCGTACCTGGCCGGCAGTCGGCATATTCAACCCTCCACTCAACTACCTCGCCTTACCTACGTACCTCCAGTTCCCAAATCGAATCTTGACTTGAGGTGGTGTGTCTCAAAGACCATATGAAGATTGTTCTTGCCCACGGTAAACACCTCCGCTAGCCACCTACGTCTTTCAAGGTCGACTAGCCGAAGCCATTGGTGGGATGATGCATCACTACTGAGCTGCCTTCCTGCCTCACTTTGATGGTGTTACATTGCCTATACCGGCCGCTAGCAACATCGAGCCCTCCCCGAACTTCAGACGGCCATGGCCGACCTCATGGAAGTCGATCCCGCTCCTTCTGCTGGCACGAAGCGGAAGGCAGAGGAAGACCCAGAGGACTCTCAGGGGCCCCGTCGCATTCGCGTGAGTTGCACTCACCGCCTCACTCGGTGTGCTACACTTCTGACGTGCACGTGCAGGCGCTCGACCAGAATGTAGTCAATAAAATCGCCGCTGGAGAGATCATTGTTGCCCCCGTCAATGCCCTGAAAGAATTGATCGAGAATTCCGTTGACGCGGGTGCCACTGCCCTCGAGGTATTGATCAAGGAGGGTGGCCTCAAACTTCTGCAAATTACCGACAATGGATGCGGTATTCAGGTATGACATGGCATGCCTCTTCTTCATAGATTTATCCGTTCGTTCTGACTCTTCACAAGAGAGAAGACATAGAGATTCTCTGCGAGCGTCATACGACCTCCAAGATCACCGCCTTCGAGGACCTTACCTCCATTGCCACATATGGCTTCAGAGGTGAAGCACTAGCAAGTATTAGTCACATCGCCCACCTGTCTGTGACTACCAAGACCAAAGACTCCAATTGCGCATGGCGTGCCACATACCTCGACGGCAAGCTGGCTCCTGCAAAGCCCGGTCAGTCGGCCGAGCCCAAGCCCACCGCCGGCCGTCAGGGTACGCAGATCAGCGTTGAAGACATGTTCTACAACATACCGACACGTCGAAGAGCCTTCAGGTCTCCTGCTGAGGAGTACAACAAGATTATCGACATTGTTGGACGTTACGCCATCCACTGTAAGGGAGTAGGCTTCTCATGCAAGAAGCACGGCGAATCGGGCACCAGTGTGTCTATCCAAGCCACATCAAGTGAAATCGACAGGATACGGCAGATCTATGGCTCAGGTGTCGCCAACGAATTGATGCAGTTCTCAACCTCTGAAGACCGTTGGGGGTTCAAGGCTACCGGATGGGCTACCAACGCCAATTACAACATCAAGAAAACCACATTTCTCCTATTCATCAACCACCGGTGTGTCGAGTCAACCACCATAAGGAAGGCACTCGAGCAGCTGTACGCCTCATTCTTACCCAAGGGCGGTCGGCCATTCATCTATCTCAGCCTCGAGATTGATCCTGCCCGAGTCGATGTCAACGTTCATCCTACGAAGCAAGAAGTGCATTTCCTGAACGAGGATGACGTCATCCAGTCAATATGCGAGCACATACGCTCCAAGCTGGCAGAGGTAGACACGAGTCGCACATTCATGACACAGAGCTTGCTTCCGGGTGGCCAGATGATGGAGGTATCTCCTCAGGCCGAGGGTGAAGGCACCCCATCGACGTCCGCAAGAGAAACACCAGGCTCAAAAAGACCACGGAGGAACTCTAATAACCTCGTCCGTACTGATACGAGCTTGCGAAAAATCACCAGCATGCTCCCCTCAGCCATAGCTGCTACGCCCTCCAAGGCATCCCCTGGGCTGAGTGCGGCCGCAACCGGGGCGGCTGACGAGAATGCCTTGTCTATCTCGGAGCACATTCAGTACGAAACGGTCGATAGGCCCTTCGCACCAATGAGGCTTACTAGCGTCAAGGAGCTCCGGGCCGAGGTAAGAGAAGACATGCACAACGACCTCACAGAAATCTTTGCAAATCACACATTTGTCGGTGTCGTCGACGAACGTCGTCGGTTGGCCGCTATTCAGGGCGGTGTCAAGTTGTATCTCATTGACTACGGTCGAACCTGCTACGAGTACTGCTATCAAGTCGGGCTGACAGATTTTGGTAACTTTGGCACCATCCGCTTCACGCCGCCCCTGGATCTGCGAGAGATCCTCCGCATCGGCGCCGAAGTGGAGAAGGCGAACATCGAGTCTCCCGAGGAGGACTTTAACATTGATGAAGTAGTCGGAAAGGTGGCTTCCCAGCTGATTGAGCGACGGGAAATGCTCACCGAGTACTTTTCCCTCGAAGTCTCTCCTGCGGGCGAGCTGCTCACCATCCCCCTCCTGATCAAGGGCTACACGCCTGCCATGGTCAAGTTGCCTCGTTTCCTGCTGCGTCTAGGACCTTGCGTCAACTGGGAGGATGAGAAGCTGTGTTTTGATGCCTTTTTGAAGGAGTTGGCATCGTTCTATGTGCCTGAGCAGTTGCCGCCGACGGTTGGCGGGGAGGCTGAGGAGAATGATGAGGAGACTAAGGTCGACGATCAGCTTGCGGAACGGCGGAGAAACGTGCGTTGGGCGATTGAGCATGTGTTTTTCCCTGCTTTCAAGGCGAGGTTGGTTGCGACTACGTCGTTGATGAAGGCTGCTGTGTTGGAGGTTGCTGATTTGAAGGGGTTGTATCGCGTATTTGAGAGATGCTGATGGTGAGACTCCCCATGAAGAGGCTCGGCAATAGTGATTACAATAAATTACCTATGACTACCTGAGTACCAGCACAGCGCAAGCGGCTCACCAGAGGAAGCCCCTCGGTGTCTTTTTTTCCTCGTTCCCTTTGAGCTTTTTCAAGCCACTCTCTGCCCAATCCATATGCCCATTTGCTGCATTCCATAAGGTAAATCGTGAGAAATGTCAAGTGACGCCTCACTGCGTCCATTTGGTCCCACAACTCAGATCTGACCGGTCCAGCCCCTTTTCTACGGTTAAGCCAATCTAGAGCCACGTAAGGCACCTCAAAAAAGCCAAAGTAATAAAGGTAAAAATTAAAGGTCTTCTCGAAAGTCCAAACAAAGCCCAGAGTCACTACTTGCGGGGGTCGCGCTTGCTCTCTCACATGTTCCAGCTCAGGAAAAAACCTGAACTCTTCCTTGTAGTAGCTAGCGTACCAGTGCTGCCACACTTTTCTGGCGTTAGTTTTACACGTGCGTCGGAGCTTGAAGAAGAATAAAACTTACTGAAGTCATCGCGAGCCCTGCTGCCTGATGCAATACATACTCCGGCAGCAACACAGTAGAGCGTGAAAAACAGAATCAACAACCAGCGGAGGACGTGATCGCGGGGCCGAATGACTGCCTCCCTCCTAAGGCGATCATGCTCGTCACCACGGGAAAACTTATTCCAGAGAAGGGCTATGCGAATGGGCCAGGCAACGGCAAGAAGCAAGAAGTAAAAGATAAATCCACAGAGAGCAGCCTCTTCCCAAGAGATAGAGGTGTGGAAAACAGTGCCAATTTTCAGTTGTTTGAAATTCGCCGGTATCGGTTTCCTGGGGGGGGGGGGTTCGTCGTGATGCTTGTCAAGAGGATTGGGGCTCTGCAAGTCTGGAGACCCGCTTCCTACGCTGACATCAATTTGGACTGAAGTCTTCCGCTCGTCGGCGATTTTTTCTTGTGTCGGATGTCTCTTTGTCTCAGACTGCAAGATTTCGTCCTTATCCGGGAACGGCTGATAGCATTTTGTCGGGCACTCGAAATCTGGCGGCGTAGGCTTGTCGTCACAGACCGCTGTAGATGCAATTGATTCCGCCTTTGCTTGTTTCTCATACGTATGAAGCCCCTGGCCGAAGCTGCAACAGGAAACGGAAAAGAAGAGTATCAGTAAACAATTGGAGAAGATGTTGTCGGCCGAATCCAGGGCCGGCAACCTGTTGCAAAGGCCAGTCACAGCGGCAATCTTGAACCAAAGCCAAGCAGCAGGCGTGTTTACAATCAGTGACAGGGCATACAAGCCAGCTTTCTGTACTGAAAACGGCGGAAGCAGCAGGTGACAGCCGATTTCTGGCTTCCGAACGATGGCCATCACCCTTGAAAGGCGCCCGTTGAGTTTCGACGGCCAACGCAATGCGTATTGAGCAGCGACAGATTGAAACTAAGTCGACGAGTTTCTGCTCAGTAGGCTCGGCGTCTTCGATGGTTTCCAGAACATAGAGAGAGCACGTATGTGCGACTTCAGATGTCCGTTATTGTGAAATTGAGAGAAGAGAAGGGGGAAAATGGCAGGGGCGGGGGCCCTGCTGACGTACCTTCATCGTTCAAGTGAGCCTGACTTGCCGATCAGGCTGATTCGGCCGCTTAGCGCTCCTGATCCGAGAAGCTGCTTATACTCCTGATTTGATACAAAAGAATTTGGAAAGAAGGGGTTGTGGCTGTGTCAGACTCGTCACCGAAAAAAGACCCCGACGTGCTCTTGCCAAGTTCACAGCGAGCACAGCCTTGCGTCAACTTCATAAGCTACAATTTCCACACCAGTACTGGCTCTGAGTTCAGAATTCTGTCGCAAATTGAGACAAGTTGAACCCGAAGAAACTTTAAATGGAGCTTCCTACACTTGCGCCGGTTGAAATTAGCCTTGCGGATGGTTTCTGGACGAATATCACTGGGGAAACCCCTACGTCAAGACACCGTTTACGAAGTGCTCGACTTTCGAAATACTGCGCCGGTGAATTGATGAGAAGCGGATATGATTTCGATGAAGCTCGTCTACTAAGAGTTTCTGCACAGCTCAAGTCGGATCCTCTGGCCACAAAGGAGTCAATGTTCTCGAGAGCCGATCGAGGAGACACTGGGAAGATTTTGGACTGCATCGTGCGACTGATGTTCATGACCGCGTGCCAAACAGAAGGCACTGCACTCGGAAGCTATAATACGTATGAATGGAAGAATGATGAGACGCTGACAAAATTCCTAAAACGTGTTTATCCACAAGCATTTGCCGGAGGGACGCCCGAAAAGCCCATTAGCATGGCGAACCTCAGCGCCCACATCCTGTCAAAGCACGCCGGCGTCGATATCAGAGCAACTGATACGCTTTCGGATCATTTGTCTTTCGTACAGGGAATAGGCTATAAGACGTTGCTGGTCTTCCACCATCGTACCTTTCTGGAGCATAGCTTCGAGCTGTTGAGAGCTGATCGAGAGGATTTGAGCCACGGTGTAACAGAGGCGGCATCTCAGTAAGAATATATTTCGAGAACTTGTTACAAAGAAAACGTACTGATCAGGTGCTTTAATAGTGGATGCTTGCTGCCGGAACTCCTCACGGAGACACTCAGAACCCTCGACCTCCTGTTCCCACCTGTCGGTGACGGACAATCACGGCAACTTCTGGAGAGATGGGTGCAGCGGGAAGACCTTGACCCAGATCTCCTACAGCCGTGCCATAGTTTGCTCAATATTTCACCTGAGCACAAGAATCCAGACGATCTTCACGAACTGTACACGCAGTACCCGGACTGGGCACCGCGCCTGGCCCGTTTGCTGAAGGAGGTCGACGACCCGACTCCTACTACGAGATGGGAACGCTACGCAGAACGAAAAAAGTCGCCTCGGCACATGTTTAAGTGCGCTCTCGCCGCGTTCGTCGTGGCGGCCATCTTCGGCATCCTGGCCACGGCGCTGGCGGCGGTTCAAGTCTGGATCTCGTACTGCGCCTGGGTAGAAGACCCGAGACAGTCCTTGTGTGGGGCGAAGAAGGTTCAAGCTACTTCAACGTTGAAGGGGAGTTTTTGAAACTCGATGTGAAGAGGATAGATCTGAGCTGTATGATATTGAAAAAATTGCCAGGCTCGTGACGTTCCGTTCCACTCATGGTAAAGAGCAGGAGATGTCCCACAAAACGCCGGCGAGGTCGGCTAGAGTGTAAGTCGGATGAGCCGAAGTGGAGCCCGACCGCCGATCGCCGTTGCCGTACAGTGTCCGCTCTCATGCTGTACGTTACAACGCTGGCTTCTGGCACGCATTTCTGCACAGTGTTCAAGTCACACCATACATGGCGCTTGTGATCAAATCCAGCTACCATTTCCAAACCTGCCCAGACTTCCAAGTTCACTCATCCCCAAACTCACAACGTCATTCACACTCATAGTCTTCGATTCGTCTTCATTTCAATCCAGTATCAAGTCAATTGAGTATACCCAGTCATAGTTATGGCTTCGCGACCCGACATGGACGATGAAGACCTAACCTTCCATTGTTGCGCGCCCCTCCGGCCCTCAGAACTCTTGAGACCAATTGACGTCGGCGACCTAGGGTAAGTATCAATATCCTCACTCACTCACTCACCTCTCCATCTTTGCTCAACTTGGACCTAACTCAATCATCTACTTATCTATAAAACGTATTGAACTGACAGTCATCACCACAACCAGCGGCTCAGGCCACGCAGGAAAATCAACATTCCTCGCCTGGCCCATCTTCGGCCCTCTCCTCTTCCAAAACGAAACAAGCGATGCGCGCGACCACTGCGCGAATGAGAGGAGTATGTCAAACATCCCCCGTCCTCTCACTCCCACCGTTACACCTCCTCTCGTTACAACTCCTCGACCAAGAATCGTGCCAAGTCACTTAAGCTAACCTCTCACACCACTCACTCACAGCATTCCTAAGCTACCTCCGCCTCTCAGTCTACATGTCCATCGTCGCCGTCGCAATCGTCCTCTCCTTCCACCTGAAGTCCGAACCAAGCCAGCTCGAGCTGCGCATGGCGAAACCGCTCGGCATCATCTTTTGGATCTTGGCAGTCGCGTGTCTGTGTCTTGGGATTGGGAACTATATCAGTGAGTATTTTCCTCCTCTGCTTTCCCGTTTTACCCCCTACCCCCTTTCCTCGTCTTCAGTTCAAAGTACCGGATCCGCAGTGAGTGCCGAAGGCTGATGTATAGTAAGAAACCGTGAATAAGTATAGTCGCAAAGCTGCCATTGTGCAAACCGGATGGAGGACGCAGCTCGTAAGTCTTCCCACCCCTCGGCTCGTTTCCACGGTAAACTCCAAAATGTCTTCATATTGATGCGAATCACCTAGGTCCTCGCCGTGGTGGCTCTCAGCATCGTAGGAACATGCGTCGTCCTACTCGTCATCACAAAAATCTCAGCAAACTCTCAAGAGGGAAAACAAAACTCATCAAACACCGCAGCAGCAGCTTTTGCCGCTGGACAGGTCTTGAAATAGCAAAATCACTGCAAAAAAAAAAAAAAAAAAAAAAAAAAAAAACCAAAAAAAACTTCTCAATTCGCCTTAATTTGTATCGCCCCCGCCGTTTTGTGCCTTTATCTTCGTCGCGCCGTATCAGTCCATGCTGATGTTCCATCCATCCCGTGGGTATATAAAAAGGGTCTATATAGTATACACTTTGGCACAAAATTCTTTCAAACCCCTTGGCCAACCGGATTTTATTCTTTTCAAGTTTTGCTCTGCATCTTCCTCATTCCTCCATTAACCCTTGAGTTTACCATCGGGCGTGCAGAACAGATCCCTCGCGGACCCGTCCACGTGATCCCGCTGAGACTCTTCTTTGCTGCAGCCGCCGACTTGCTCGCGCCATGTAAACATGTATTCTATCGCCATCTGATAGATGTGCCTTAGGTTCGTGCCCTCGCCCTCCCACCCGAGCAGGGGGAGATCGTTGGCGGGCTTGAGGCTGCCATTATTCGGCAGCGTGTCCATCGTCTGAACCAGGGACCCAGAGCCAAACCTCGATTCCGAGAGACTCGCCGTCCTCTTACCCTCCCCGCCTTCCTTCTCGTACTCCTCGGGGGCCTGGTATAGCTCCTGGTGCACCGTCGCGATCGTGGCTGCCGTCTCCGCGCTGGGGTACAGCGTGAAGTAGCCCCTGAGCCGTGAGAGGCGCAGCATGTGTTCGAGCCAGGAAGGGAACTTCTTGCTGACCTGCTTTTCGGCAATTAACGCCGGCGATGGCTCGGCACCCCGCGCGTGTTGCAGCGCGTCGACTTGCGATACGAGGCCGTGCAGCTCGATCCATCTGTCGCCGAAGAAGAGGATTGCGTTGCTGTTGGGTGCTTGCCACAGGTAGGAAGTTCCGGGTTCGAGATCGGTTGCGCCTTCTGCCGTCGGTTCGATGAAATCCTTCTTGCCGTCCAGGTACATGGAAGGCGTGGTCATGCTGATGCCGAGTAGACGTTGGTCCCACTTCTGGAGAGTAGTCAGGCGAGAGTAGCGGTACTCCAGTACTGTGTACTTCAGGTCTAGCGATTGTTAGTCAGAACGTACTGCTTCTAGTGGCATGTAGCATGCATACAATGGAAGAAACCAGGCGCAAGCTCCGCCTGTGGTGAAAGAACTAGAATGTGAGAGTACTTTGGCGTCGTCGGCCAGAAAGACTCGAGGAATCGAATGGAGCTCTCCTCCTCCGTCATGCGCTGTCGTGGGATTCTATGCCTCAGGGAGAGCATTTGCACGCGCCCGGGGTTATGCACGTGTGGCGGCGGCCAACGGAACGTCTCGAGGAACTTGGCAGTCGCCGGTTCAATGTCCTGGGGCAGCTCAATGGTGAGATGGGGGATCGAGAAGGCTGTGAAGTCGGCATCGTTGAGAGACTTGAGCAGCCGCAGCAGGCTGCCGGAGCCGCTTGCCGGGGCCTGGATCAAGATATCGACGCTGACCTGGTTCCACGCAGCCAGGGAAGCACTATCGAGCTTTGACAGCCACGAAAGATGTGTCCAGGCGCCCGCGGGAAGCTCAATGAGCGGGGTCTTGAGTCTGCCTGTCTCGTCGCGCGTGCCCTTCATGAAGGGCACGTATTCGTCGTCGGAGCCGTCGACGATGATAGCTTGAGGGTGCATGTATGTGCTGATATGTCGCAGCGCGCGGGCCGCGGATTGTTCGAGTCGGGCGTCGGTCGAGAGGGGGGAGAAGTCGGCTCGGGCATCGTGCCAGATGATGTAGCAGGTATCGTCCACGCCATTGATCTTCTTCAGCTCGTCGAGGTTGATGTCGCTCCTGCTCATGACGGCAAAGTGCACATAGCTCCTCAGCTCAGTTCCCATCTTACAGGCGAAGGGCAGCAAGCTCGAGATGCTGCGCAGGTTGGAGGCGGCAAAGAGGACATTCTGGTTGATGGGCTGGCTGCCCTTGGTGGCAGCAATGGCGTGCAACGAGTTCGCGAGACGATGGAACTTGACGGGGCCGTTGTAGTCGTGTTCTGCGGCGGGCGGGATGGGTTGGCCTTGAGCTAGTCGGCCGGTCTTTCGTGATGAGAGATCGCGGGACGGAGAGGCGTCTTCGGGGTACGGGTAGATGTAGTTCGGGGGTCGTTGGCCGAAACCGAGGGAGAGGTCGCTGAGGAGGTACCAGAGGCCGGCGGCAATGACGAGGAGGTAGGCGATGCGTCGGAAGAGGCGGCGGGAGGGCATCTTGGCGGCGGGCTGCCATTGGGGGTTCCTGTTTCGAAGCAGCATGGGGTTCTTGATGGCGCTGCCGCCAGGGCGGTGGTGGTCGTCGTCCTTTTTCCCCATCTCTTCATCGCTGAGGAAAACGAAGGAGCGTAATTGGCGCCATGGATCCGGCATGCTTCTCTATCTGGGGAGGATGGAGAGGTGCGGCGATGGGCCTGAGGACAGATTAAAGGAAGAAGAGGGAAAGAGAGAAAAAGTAAGAAGAGCAAGGGAGAAAAAGCGAGGAAGCGAAGGTAAGACGAAGCGTGGATGGTACACGTTCACCGAAAAAGGACTGAAAGTTGCCAGGGAGGGGGGAGCGGTGATCCGAGGGTTGGGCGTCTCACATCTTCCCGTCGAGGTAGAGAAGCTGGCTGGGCTGCGTTATCCGTTGGAGAGCTCCAGATGAAGAGTTGGAGGGTGACGGAGACTGAGGAGGAGGAGGAGGAGAGCGAGTAAGGTCGAGGCTTAAGCTGAGCAGCGAGCGTACAGGACAGCACAGCAGTTGAAACAGACGCAGTTGCTGAAGCGGGCCAGCGGGATGGGACGAGAGATGCCGTTAGATGCGATGCGTATCCGTAGCCTGTAGGTATTCGTACGGATACTTGGTACACGTAAGGTAAGGAAGTTGGCGCAAGGTGGGAAACAACAAGTGGTCCCTTTTTCCCATGCGGTTCCCCTTCGTTTTCTCCCCCTGTTGAAAAGTTGCCGGCAATTGATGACCTAGACGGGCCAGACCTTGACCAGAGATTTGAGATCCCAGGGTTGTCTGCTCCAGCTGGGCTGTGCAGCGTGGTGCAATGTCACAGACGCGAGCTTTGGTGGGTAATGTGTGGTGGATCTGTGGAGCTGGTCCGGACGTGGCCCGGAGGATGAGGAGGATGCGCCTGGTGGGGGTGGACGGACGATCTCGAAGCTTTTGCTTTTGCTTTTGCTTTTGGATGGTGCTGGTGAATCGTGATGGTCCAAGGTTGACGTGGACTCGAGTATTCGAGGTGTGGTGGTCACGGTCGTACGTGTGCGTATGCGAGAGACCGAGCGAGAGCCAGCGGGGCTCCGTAGACTGTACGGAGTATTCGTATCTGTAGGTACGGAGTAGGGCGTACTGATAATGACAGCTGTACGAAGTGGTATTGAGGGAGAGACAGACGCAAAGGTAAAAAAAAGCAAAAGTGGCATTAAGTGAGGTCCATTAAGGGGACCGTTGGAAAAAAAAGGTGTTTAAAGTGTCCGGCTTGGCGTCCGTCTGGTGGTGTGCCCAGCAAGGAAGGGGGCGTGTGACACAATGACAGCAATGCCATCCATCACTTGAGTTCCATCAGCGAACTGCCAAATTCCTACCTTAAAGTAAGGTACTCCGTAGACAGAGGTGTTGGACGTCAATTGAAGTGTCTTTGTCAGGTA